TTCAGAATATCTCGCACTGCTTGCTTTGGTCCCGAGTCAGGCGATCTCACGAAGCGTGCTGAAGGAAAATATGTGAGACAAGCCGAAATATCTAGGCCATCTCTGGCAACCCCTGTTGTAGGAGAGCTCAGCCCTATGAATCAATTCCAACGTACTCTTGGAGGCAATGACGACAACTCTCTCGGATTCCTTCCTTCCTCGGCTGAAACGTCGCATTGGGTTCCAGAAGCCGAGGGGGTGCTCTGAAGAAATCAGAAGGAAATACAGCAATGGCCCAAGTGCACAGGCTAACGGATGAACTCACTACGCCATCTGATTGGACGTTTAGGTTTCTCTTCTTCACCGCTGCCCTCACCGCTTCCTTCTTCACCACTTCCTTCCTCGCCGCTGCCTTCGGCACCTTCTTCACCACTGCCCTCACCGCTTCCTTCTTCACCACTTCCCTCTTCCTGAAGTTTACATTACAGGAGTACTGCTAATGCTCATGGGAATCTGATGAACTATCTTACCGGCTCCACTCCCTTAGCGATTTCCTGCAGTTGCTGAGTATTGGCGAGGTATCGGCACTCTTCGGGCATCTGTGCATTTACGAGTGTCTTGGCTCGGGTTCCAAGTTCATCGAGGATAGCTGCGCCTTTGAAGAACGGCCTTAGGACGGCTTCCTGAAATGCCAAGAGTCAGTAACAGTAGTGTGCCACCTGCAACAACGGACTTACCACAACGATCGTTCCAGCCGGTTCATCGCATTCCTCGTTAAGCCTCCTGGCCACACAGCTAGCCATACAGCCTAGGGATGTACAGACTGGTCCAAGTTCCTGGAATGAAGCCTCAGTCATAAGTACGCCTTCTTACATCGCACTAAAACACGCCACTGCACTGGAGGGGAAGGAGGTCGCGGAGCGATGGAGGGCGAAATGTTCTAACAGAGGCTTGTCTCTCGGTGCCTTATCTCTACAGGCACAGTACGTCCGCGATTAAATTAAACAAATGCAAAATAAATGCATCCCAGACTACCATCCATCAAGCGTTACGGTAGAGGAAAGAGTTAGGAAAACCTGAATATGCCCTCTGCTGAAGTGGGTGGGTGGGTGGGGAGGGAATGGTATGGCAACGACAGAAACCCATCAACGTAAGCAACTTTTTCCGCAGGAAAAATACCGTCTCCCTTACCTGATGCCCCATGCTGCGTGCCATGTCCTGGGAAAGATAAGACACGTAGTTCGGTTAGAAATTTAGAATGTGCCCTGGCGAGTTCTTAGCGATTAAGCGCCTCACCCACCTCTGAAGCCCCCTTTCCAACCCACCTAGAAATTCCGAGGCATGTACTGCAGTTGGCGAAAGTCTTTGGAGAGCCCCACCCAGGGCACATAATTGTAGGGGGATTCTGGTCGCGTCCGTACTACCTCCCTCCCCTCCCTCCTAATTCCATCCTCTGATACAATGGAGCTGTCGAACGGGAGCGGGGGGGGTACGACGCATGTGAAACTGTGAAGCAGAAAAGCAGCAGGGAAAATACGACTCCCTGCTTCCCAATCCTACCTACCACTTCTCTAGATCCTCCCAGCTTCCTACCTCTTTTTCCACCTTTTTTCAGATTCAGATTTCGTCGAGCGGGAAGAGTGGGGGAAGACCAAAAATCAACAACCGGGGAAAATTTATCCCACCGCCGCGAATTTCGCAAATAAGTAAAATCAACTATCGAAAAAATTCTATCAGACCAAGTAAGCCCCACCCCCACTTCCAGCGATGAAGAGCCTTACCCACCCTGAAGCCCCCTTCCCAACCCTCCTGGAAACTCCTGTGCATGTTCTGTAGTTGGAGAAATCTTTGCACCCCCTCAGAGGTTCCTCTCTGGCACTACTGCCTTCCCATCCCGTCTACCATCTTCCTCAATCTTCCGGAAGATCCCTCCACATGCTTTCCAAAAAAAACTGCCGTCGAGCAGGAGGGCCTATGTAGTCAAACATAGGCCCCTTCACCCCGCAGTTCGCCTTGGTGGGACACCCTGTGTTACTCGGCGAAGCCTGTACAGTGCACCTTGTAAATACGTGTCAATTCCTGTAAGCAAAGCGCCTCACCTACAGTCTTCACAAGGATTTCATGCCCAACCAAAGCCTAAAGCCAGACCAATCAGTCCACAAGAACTATCAGAAGGAACTATCGGAAGCTCACCCTCCCCAGAGCCGAACAGTGCCGAGTTCACTGACTCTAAGCTACTTAGCGACTTGAAGGACTCACCTCAGCCATCATCTTGCGAGTTCTATGAACTCTGGCAAAGCGACGGATGAATTCGTAGGTTGAAAGTTCCATAATCGATTCTGTGAACGTGCAATTGTCATTGCAATCCAGCACAACTGCCTCAGTCACGTTGCTCAAGCACTCGGAATAAGGCTCAATTGCAGTTTCCTCTTCACTGCAGAACGTTTCAAGGCCACCGAAAACGGTATCAAAGAAAACACCGCCAAGGCAGTCTTCCTGCTCGTCCACACATAGCACAGCGTCATTGTAAGCCCTGAAAGGTTAATGTTTACTTCCTACTGGAATCCCAATACCTTCGGTTACTCACCTGCACAACTCACTGAAATTCTCCGTGGTATTTTGTAGA